AGTTCTATTCACCGTCATCCCAAAGAGAAGCACAGCCTGGCCAGATGTGTTTTCTTCTTTAAACTAAGAACTGTGAAGTTGGAGATTTTCGTCGTTTAACAACCAGACAACATCCTTTCAAAATAAGAGCACCTGCTGACGCTGCCGATTGTTACCTAGGTCGACCCTTCAGACGGGCTTTGAAACGCTGTGACCGCGGTTTCGACCAGCTCCAGCGCACATCCGAGTTCTTCAGACCTGGCATTTCCTGATCTACCTGGGAGGCCCCCACTGGGTACGTACACGGCAAAATAGCAGCTCATGTCATCACTTTATAAGCCTCGTGATATCTAGTCATAACAATCAAAGACTACCAGATTCAATGACGTCAGCCTAAGGAGTCTGAACCAACCACACACACACACACACACACACACACACACATCGAACATCACATTCATTTCCAAACAACACAGAGTTAGTCCTGATAGATTGTAGAATTTAAAATAAAATTCTTAAACGATCCCAACTCTCTCTTTTCTTGTCTCAAGGTCAATACAGAGTGTTAAATGAACTCCCTGATGATAAAAACAACCTATTCTTCTGATTATAAAAACTAGATCTACTTACAGTATATTAAAATACAACTCTAGATCGTTACATCACTCTATTTCACTACAACATGCAGTTAATCGTTCAGCCCTAATATACATGCAGCTCTATGCTAAAAGTGTATTTTCAAAGAGGTAATGATGGATTTCTTTGTAAAAGTTGTCCATCTTTCCAACAGAAACATTTGCCTGGACCAACGTAACGTGATAACGTAACGTGATTGCGTAACTTCCGTAAGGTTCATGTTCAGCCAATCAACTACTTTGAAATCATCGGCAGTCGAAGGACCCCGAGCCAATCTTGCACCCAAGCAGATCCTGTACTGACACCGTCACTAAAACATATATGTTTATATGTTTTTTATTTATGTTATGAATGCCACTGTATAATTTCAGTATTTGCAAGATGTTGGTTGGATATTTGGGTCTGTATTGGTTAGGCTTAAATGAGTTAAACCTCAGCTCTTTGGGTCATAAACTATGAGCAAGTGTGTTGGCCTTTTTATACTAGGAATCAGGAGTTGTTTTTTGATTATCTTGTTGCTTTCTTTTTCTTTTTTCTTTTTGCCCTGATTGTGCCCTGAGCAATTTTATGACTGAATAAATAAACAAATAAAATCAAAATTCTTTGAAAAATAGTCTTAAATAATCGAGATCTCAATTTCAGTCACAATAATCATGATTATCATTTTTGCCATAATCAAGCAGCCCTAATAATAGATATTTTATTGATACACACAATAGAGTAACAAGGTTGTCACGTCAACTGAACCTGGATTTCCCCCACGTTAAGGTATAATAAACAGTGGTGTGATTGCTCTTTTGCTGTGGCAGCTGTGGAAAAAACTGCAATCCTAACCTACTACCACAGACTCACCAGTCTTTAAAAGTGGTCTTAAAACATATCTTTACCTTAAGGCTTTTAATCCCAAGGGGACCTATTGCGCTATATGTTTTTTTGTTTTATCTCCTTTCATAAACACTGGTTGGCTGGTTGGTTGGTTGGTGTTATCATGTATAACCAGTGTTGTAATACCAACAATTAGGCACAATTCTTGTAAATCATTACGTTTTATCCATTCTTGTTGTTTTCATATCAGTAAAAATGAATCATAATTTTGTTTGGTATGTAAATGTTTAAATATTTTTTTATTTTTTGAAAATTCTGTGATTAGTTTTAAACTTTTGGACCCTCCAATTAGAGCCCTGCACGGGCCTAAAATCTGAGCCCGTGTCCGGCCCGGCCCGAGGGGGTGGAGCCCCAGCCCGACCCGGCCCGAAAAGGTTTTCACGATTCTCTGGCCCGGCCCGAGCCCGACTTTTTTTTAACCAGCTAAATGAAAACAAAGTGCATCAATCCTGACCAATCCTGTGTTAAAAGACGTGCAGGATCCGATCAATTTGTTTTTCCCTCGTTTACCATCACGGAGATGATGGCGCACTGGCTCTGGTGTTAATCAAGTTAAATTTGATCTCTTTCCAACCAATTTCACAAGAAAACAGAACAGTCAAAAGCAGGGCTTGAGTTGACCGGATAGTTCCAGAATAGAAAGAATTACCCCGACGCATGCAGACGAACTGACATTTTATTCGTTACACACATCACAGATGATGTAGCTAAATCACCCAAGAAAAGATTCCCATCTGAACATCTGAGCTGCTCAGCGCAGCTCGTTGTAACCGCATATGTGCACAGCGAGCTGAAGTTGTGGAGAGGGGTTTGGAGCGCATCGCAGAACCAGAGCACATGCGGGAAGATTCCTCCCACTGAAGCAAGTGTTTTCCAAACCCTGTCGCTCAGAGAGACTTGTCACTTAGAAAATGTTCCCCGATTATGAAACTTTGGCTGAATAGTGCTTGTTCCTGTCTCCAATGTGGCGACACATCCAGGAGGAGAATCCCAGAATCTCTTCAGTTCAGACAGTGCATATGATTACGCACAAGCGTGACGCGTCAACCCGGTCTCACAGTAAGACTGGGTTTGACCTGTTCAGGTTTACGCAGACAATCTTGACATAGAATGGACTTACAGACATTAAATTAATTCAGTAAAATATAAAGCATTTTATTTAAATATCCATTCATTATTTTACAAGCACAGAGAGCCGCATCAGATGGATGGAAGAGCCGTGGGTTGTGAAATGTTTTCTCCAGGACCAGAGAGGATGCAAACAATGCATCTCTTTTATTGTGAGGTAATAATTTCTCCGAGTTTTGCGGTTGCGGGCAGGAGTAGACATGCACGCTGCAGGTGTGGGCGGGAGTGTAACACACACGTTGCAGATGCAGGCGGTAATGGTCAGAAATTCAGCGGAAGCGGGCAGGAGCGGGATGAAGAAAACAGTCCCGCGCAGGGCTCTACTGCTGCGTTTGTGTTTCAATTTTTTTTTAAATGAATTCAATTAAAAATAAAGGCGTCCGGCCCGTGTCTGAGGTAATTCCACAGTCGTTGGCCCGAAGTCCGGCCCGAGGGCCGTCGGACCGGGCCGGGCCGACCCGAGGGCCTAGGGCTTCACCTCCAATCAATTACAAAGATGCCGAGTGGGCGGTGCAGATATTTTTGTTCGTTAAATGTCAGCCAGAGGCAACAATAGGTTTGTTGAAAGAGATTTTTTGTCCACTTGCTAAACTTGAGAAATTTGTTTAAGTAAACTTTCATTTAGGTCAGAGATATAAGAAATTATTGGTTGATTTTGAGTTATGTTGTTGCATGAAATAAACGGGATATATTTTTCAAGAAGTCAAGTCTGAACCACCTGTTGCCACCAACAGCCTTTTGTCAGAGAGGTTGTGTTTTAGAAGTTTAAAGCAAGCAAGCAATCCCAACTATGTTTCCCGGTTTCTTACAAGGCTACTTTTCCAAAGACTGGAAGGAGTAATCACTCACATTGCAAGACACAATAAACAAATTTTAACCAAAATTGTTATCTGAATCTACTAAATTTGTCTGCACTACACCTACACTATCAACAAACCTTTTGTACATTAAAACCATCAAGCCCATCTTAGTTATAATCCATTGCAACATAAATTAGCTTAATTATCCCACACCTAAACTTTTTATCACATATTGAATAACTCATAATCAGATTCCAAAGGCTAAAGGACTAATTGTCGTCCTAACACACACACACACACACACACACACACACACACACACACACACACACACACACACACACACACACACACACACACACACACACACACACACACACACACACACACACACTCATACTACTTTAGTAGTTGCTAAAGTGTACTGTTGATGTGTGTCTGAACGATTGTGTCACCGTCATATAATGAAAGCACTTAACACACAAGGCCTATTGTATAATTTCTAATCCAGCTAATATTAAGCTCTTCCACTATTCCTGAGATTAAATACCCTGCTGCAAGAAAACACAACCAAAGTAAGGCCAGTGATGCCATTAAGACATAGTCTGTGGGCGGGTCAGGATCACCCTCAGGCAGACAAAGGCCTTGGCATTAAAACAACATTACAAACTTTGCAGCTGAAAACTATGGTGGTTTCTGTAAGTGCTCATTTTGGCTTATCAAGTATTTAATTTTAAATTATTCAAATTGAATAAATGAAAACTGGGACATGCATAAAGATTTATGATGTCAAATATAAATGTGGAATATAATAAATATTCATTTACAAAGCCTGGAAAAGCAGTGATCTATTTCTAAATCTCTCTCTCTCTCTCTCTCTCTCTCTCTCTATATATATATATATATATATATATATATATATATATATATATATAGATAGATAGATAGATAGATAGATAGATAGATAGATAGATAGATAGATAGATAGATAGATGATAGATAGATAGATAGATAGTATATTAATGTAGGCAAAGAAGTTGAAGTGGAAGAAAAAAGTTTTTAGGTTTGGTCTTTGATACTTTTATTCTTTAACAAGCAGTGAACAAAACTGATCTTTATACTTTGAAACTTTTTCCCCCTCAGCTACAAACATCTACTCTTTGACAACTTTCAATCAGCTGAAGATGCAACAGCCTTAGACGCTTTCATTTTTACGCTATCATAACAAGACCTTTGCTTCACCCATTTCCTTTTCTAAAGAAACCAAGAGCAATATGTTAGATGAAGCTAATGCAAATGCTTAAGAGCTTCAGGGCCCGCTGGCAGCAGTCACAGTAAGGGTGACCACTTCTTCATGTTCGCTTGATAAACTACACTCAGAAATTATAAGAGGCAATAAAAAAAGTGTGTGAGCATGTATCTACCATCTATTTCACATGATTGTTGATGCATGTTAATTCAAGATCTGTTTGATCACCATCTATAATGTAAAATGCCAAGTTTAAACAGATTAAATCAAGGACTATGTTTTGATTATATCAAAATTCATCAAATTAGAAGTAATGTGCTCACCATGCTGTTGAGTTCTGAGTCATCATAGCTGTCTAATGGTGTTTCACGTCTCCTGAGGGGCTCAAGGCCCTCTTCGTCCCACATGTAGGTTCCACCAGAGCTGCTGGAGGGTGACAGCTCAACAGACGAGGCCGGGGGGGCATCACCCTGCTCTGGAGACAGCGCCAGTGATTCCTGGGATTCCTGCACAGGGCTTTCTTCTTTATATTCTACAGAAAAAGGCATAAAAATGCCATAAATATAAATCAATAAATGCAAATGGTTGTCCTTTCAACTCTTACTAGTCATTTCCTTCGACTCCCAGTCGATGGTCTCACTGTGAAAGCTGTGTAAGGAGCTTAGAGTTGTGCTGCTTGCTTTCCGGTTGTCAGGCATATCCCCTTCCCCACATGCATCTTCCACAGAGTCAGTGTCATCAAGAAACTCTTCACTTGTATCAAACCTGTCTAGTGATGAGGCAGAAGATAAGGACATGTCCTCCAGGGTCTCCCCAGCCCCCTGGCTAGTGCTCTGCCAATGCATTCCTCCTCCATTTGCAATTCCATTTCCATTTCCATCATTGTCACTGGGAGAGTCTCTTTTTACAGCTTCCTCAATTGGATCAGTGCCTTTTGCGACCCATAGTAGCCCATTACTTTCAGGTAAGACTAAAGAGTTGATATGCTCCTTGACCTGATCTGGAACAATACACCTCTGCTGGTTGGTCTGTCCTAACCGAGCCAATCTGGAACCCAAAGATCCAACACTACTAGACAATGACTTTGTCCCAACAGAATTGGGGAGCAGAGGCTTCTTCAAAGTTCGGGGAGTGCTAGGTGTAACTGAGGAGGTGGGCAGACAGGAGGCAAATGGAGGACTTTTGTTGTACTGAAGACCTCCAATTCCTCCACCTAGATTGCCATTTATTACTAATCCCACTCTGCCATTGCTTACCTGAGGGGGTTTCAGAAAACTACTACGAGGAGGCCGGAGTTGAGTGTTGGCCAAAGGCTTAGCTAACTCCACAGCCCGATTAAAGGAGAAAGATCGAATCATTGGCTCACTAGTAGGGGAGGGAATTTGCTTGAAGTGAGTGAAGCTGTTTGAACGCACTATATTGTCAAGTGTTGATGTCTTTGGGCTCTCGTTGTACTGGGACAGGCTGTCCTGGGAGGCACTTCTGGCAGAGGTGGTGCCCAACACTGGTCGAACAAGGCGTGACTCTGACCCTGCACGAGGAGGAATGCTGGAGCCACTGTTGGTCATTTTAGCTACTCCGTTCAGAGGGCTTTGGCCTAATTTAGCTCCTCCTTTGGGAATCATTTTTAAGGATTGCTTAGGGATGGATTTGGGGCTAGAGACAGCCATCGCCAAACAACCAGACCTGCGCATGACAGGAGTTGCTGGAGAGCTCTTCTTTGCCTCCTTCACTGATGAGAGAATCTGAGCCTGAGAAGTGTCTTCACTTTTGTCTCCAACGATGGGTGTGGTAGAGTAAGATGAAATCACCCCATCATCTCTTTTACATTTCAGGGAAAGAGGGGATGTGCGAGTCATCCCATTTTGGCGAGCTCCTGAGGTTGTAGTTTTGCCATCCTGGGCAGATGCTGTTGGTTGTGTGGAACCATTGCACAGGGGGCTAAAACCATTAGTTGAAGGACGTCCACCAAATTTAGGTAATCTGGATACCATGGCAGGCCCAGTGGAGGTTTTTTCTTCCATTAGATGAAGAAAAAAGCATGGAGCAGTTTGAAAACAACTGTTGAGAAAAGAAACAGAAAAAAAGATTAGTTTCTACTTAATCAGATATGGCGGCACGCAGAAAAACAACTTTGTAGATTTTGAATCTTTTAATCTCTACAGCGAGTGCTTTTTCAGTAGTAATACCCCCTTCAACACTGTGTTTGTCAAGACCCGCTATGCTTTCATATTTTTATTTCCAGTGAAAAATGTTATTTTATTCTGCTCAATCAATGATGAATGAACAAAAACAAGCATCTGTCAGTTTCGTGTTTTATTGACATTTTATATTCCCAAGCGTCTAACAACTTGAAATTGAACATTTCTATTAAAACATAAGGAAAGAGGTCAAATCTAGTTTTTGAACACACACACACACACACACACACACACACACACACACACACACACACACACACACACACGCACACACTCAGTCAGACAAATATGCAGACCCATGTAGAAAAACACTACACTACACAAATAGAAAAAATATACTAGTGTAGAAAGATGGACTACCAATCTGTCTGGGCTGTATCAAACATATCATCCAATGACAGATGGTATAAGCTACAGTAGTTTATTTAGTAGTTTACTAAGGTGTAATTTCCCCACCAAATAACTGCACAACATAACGTGTAGCCGGCTCCAACTTGATCCGATTTGACGCCAAACAGACCAGGCCAAGAAATAAGCGGAGGTAATGCATACACAGTCAAGGAGAGACAAGGGGAAAGCAGTGCTGGGATGGTGGCCAGCACACTGTGAATAGTGAATGAAGGATGTGCATCATGTAAAGCAAATGAAGGGAAAAGCACAAGGCTGTTTTCTCTCACTCGTTAGAATCGTTCAGTTCCAATCAGCCATGTGACAAGGGTACATGTGTCTGTGGTGCACCTGCATGTTACATCCATCTGGCAAGTGCTTGGGCATCATAAATTAAAAAGTTGCGCATATCCAGATGGCTGGTGCCGTTAGCAGAAAGTAAACCATCTGCATGAGGAGGCAAAGCAGCATCTCAAACCTCTACACTCAGAGCGGTCTAACGACTCCAGTGGAAAACAACTCATTGTTGCATGTCCACAAAACAGTGAGTAGTTAATCCCATATGAGTGAACCTCTTGACAAACTGTCATAAGGACACAAACTCAGCTAATGCAGCAATAACTCAATCAGCCTGTGAAAAGAAGGGGGATGGGGGACGTGTAGCTCTGTTAGTCTCCTATTCTGAAGAAGAAAAAAATAATCCCAGTGCCCTACATCCTTCTGCAAAGACACACGAGAATGCAATCAGAGACCCACTCACCAGTGCCATGCAAGTGTCTGGCTATCGCAACATACTAATCTGTTTCATACATACACACACTGGTAAAAACACACACTTGCACAAGCAAAATCAGGTCAACATGCACAGACAGGGCCACCAAAGCCTCTTTGCCCTCGGCAGGGGTTGGATGTCTGACTTTAATGGGTAGATTAGGGTATAAAAATGCATTTAAGTAAACTGTATGAAATTGAATTATTTATTAAGTGAAGTATAAGGAGATGATGATGATCAGATCATATTGTAATGGGAAATCAGGGCTTTTTCTCCAAGTAAATGGTCAGATGAACTAATGTTCATAACATCATGTCTAAAGCATTTTGCCAACATTTGAACTAAACAAATTCCCACTTTTATCTAGGCAACAGAAAGAATAAAGCTGTTACTCATCCCAATTTGATAAAAGATGAAGGTCAGAGCCACAAAACAGCCAAAAAGATCCCAGCTGACATATATTCAGAGGTAGAGGAGTAAACACTGCAGGCCATCTGTCAAGCCCTCATCTCCAGGTCTGCCCCTCCCTCTGAGTAAGTAAACATCCCAGAGCTGTAGGGCCAGCATAAAACCAATGTTTATCATGCCATGTGCTCGAATGTGAGGAAAGCATGGCCGCTGATGTCTGGGCTACATATATTAAAAACATTATGTCACTGCAAAAGCACATTATGTACACCACAATAACTGGAGGCAATCTCCAACAGGATACAAATGGAGGTCTTAAGAAAGGGTTTTATTAAATGCATTTATCTTTATGTCCCACCCCCTGGTTTTATTTAGGAATAATCCTGTGATATTGATCAGACTAACACTCATATTGGTCTATTGGTCATCAGTATGCTTGTTTGCCATGTGTATCTGTTGATTTTATTCTCAAAATACTCAAAAATGCATGTTAGTTTAACTGTGATGATATCACTTGTAACTATTAACTAGAGGCTAAAACAGAAGGAGCAGATTTTCCATCCGGGAATCTCATATGACCTGTAGAGTAGCACCTCGGCAGCAATCACTGGGTGTGAAACCAACCCTACACTGGGTGTGAAACCATTTCTTACTCACAGACAAACAGAAATAGGAAGCTTTCAGCTAACAGGGAGGCAGTCCAACTTCATTTCCCACTCAGGCGACATCACGCAGAAATGACCTAGTAAAAAGAAGCATGAATTTCAAATCATAGATGTCTTATCTGCCTTCTGGGAGAGCTTTCACAAATAACGGAGCGTCATTCTTCTGGACCAGAAGGATGGATGCAGATGGGATGCAGCAGCCCGAAGGCTGTGATCTATTGGGTCATTGGGGCTACGCATGAATGGAGGTGCTTTACTACGAGCAGCAGTAAATCCCTGTTCCTGCTGTTTATTCCCCTTAGCTAATCTGTCTCCATCTCAGAGTGCTCATAGTTCCCCATCATTACAAATCCTCTGTGCCATCTTCACATAAAGTGGCATGCCAAGCTGCATTTATCGTTTATTTGACCACATAAAAACGGGAAACCTAAGAGAAGGATTGTATGAAACAGAGGCATATTTACTATCAACCATGGTTTCTGGACTATTTATTCTAATTAGTACCACAAGTAAACTAATTCACAAAATATTTAGACGAAAATTAATGCATTTCAAATGAATAAATAAATAAAATGTTGCTGACAAAAATAAAAACCTTAAAATTAGATTTTCTGTTTTAAAAGAGCCAGGTTTTCCCATACTAAACAATTAGAGTGATTGTATTAAAGGTGTGGGACACTCGTTTAATCAATGCATTTGCAGTGGTAGTAGGATTGAATGCCTTGCAAGTCGTACTGGGACAAGTCAGCTGGAGGAGAAAGCAGCTTCAGGTCAGGATTTAAAGCCTTATTTCCTGATTTTTGGCCACCTCTCCTCTGATTGGCTAACAGCAACACAACTCTACTTCTCTGACTTACAACACTGATGTTTTATCTCCACAAGTAACACAAGCATGGAGGAGTTCTGCTGTGTGGAGTTGTTAATGCTAACGGTTAGATTCTACAAGTCGAGACATTCTCTGCTGATTCCTGGACAAACAACCAACAACAGCCTTCTATCGTGAGTCAAGATGGGTGAGTCTATGAATGTGAAGTGACAGTGTGACATAGATCTGTCAGCAGGGTCCGAAATTACATTTTTTACTCACCGGCCAAGTTGGCTGGTAGATGATGAAAATCTACCGGCCAAACATATCTTTTACCGGCCAAAATTCAAAATGATTTAGATCTACCTAAAGCATGTTATTCTATATTATGTTGATTCCAAACAGAATGACAAAATAATTAAAACATCAATTAATAAGAAAAACAACTCTTTTGTCATTTTTACTATTTATTTATTTATTTTTAGAGATGTTTTTATGAACTCTTTCATTGAAATCTATTTCAAATGAATGAATAAGTTGTTTACGACCAAAACTTTCTTTAAGCTAAAGCTGAAATAATGGCCAGAGGAGACGGCAGCACTCGGGACATTTATTATCCCTCAAAGAAGACAAAGTCGGAAGTATGGGCATTTTTTGGATATTTGAAGAATGCCGAGGGACAGTTGTCTGTGAAAGGCAGCAACGCTACGTGGCCATCATAATGTAGCCATTGTCTCACGACTCCGCCATCTCCGGTTCGCCACTTTTCACAAAATCTTCTGGTTGCCACTGGTCCTGGTGGTTTTCCTTCCAGTTCGACGAGTTTTCTTTTGGAAGGCTGGCTGACTCCAGTTAAAAACCGCCACATTTCACCGCTAGTTTTAACACGAAGCTAACTGCTAACTTGATAAACTGATTGAATGGGATAGGTGGAAATGACGTTGGATGCGGCGTTCACGTTTCACGTACGTTTGTGCACGTTGCATGCAGGCGGGAGGAGTATCAGAAATCCATGGAAGATGACTGATAAACATAACTAATTTGGTGCAAACATTTACTCGCCAGGTGGCAGGTAGAGCTCAAAAATTTACTCGCCAAATGGAGCAATTTGCTCGCATTTGGTGAGTGGCGAGTGTTAATTTCGGACCCTGCCTGTCAGGCTTTTCTAAGCAGGTTCAGCCTGCATGAAAACTCAGAGTGACGGATTATAATCAAAAATAATCATTAAAAATTTTTTTTTTTTTTTGGTGTTCCAAACCTTTAAAAAAAAATTCTGAAAAACTATCCACATGTACATTTGTGGATCCTAATGCATGAATGCAGAATCACCAAAGCTTTGATGTCCTTTACAGATAAATGGAAAAGCTTACTAAATGAATCAACACGTTATTTTACCAGATAAACTCCAGCTCATAAAACTGCAAAAGAAAAAAATTGCATAAGACAAAATGTAGAAGAAGAAAGAAAAAGAAGGATTTCATGCATTTGAGCATTTTGTTGTAGAGTTGTTATTCAAAATCTCTGTGCACTGGTGTTAACTTTTATCCATCTTGATTAGTTTTTCATGATGTAAAATAAGTCAATATGCAATTTTAGGGTTCAAAAGGTCATCTATCTATTGAAAGGGACAGTTTCATGCTGATGGGCCATGCAAACAAACACTTTTATCTATCAAACATCAAAAATGGCCTTCAGCAGCCTGATGCTTGATCTAACATTCAAAAAGGGAAATTAATAGTATACCAGCTGTCAAATATACCCCAAGTGTATTTCTAGCATAGTAAATCCAAATCAAAGTGCAACCTCATTTATTGATTTACTTTGGTGGCTCATAGGAGAAACAACCAGGCTGGTTGTCAGGGCAGGACAGTTGTGGGACATGGCTCTCTCCCTGAACAGATTAGCAGGGTGCTATTAGAGCAGGCTAATAGAATGAGTCAGAGATGAAAGCAGCAGTGATGCAAGACAAATGTGCATCGAGTGAAAGCAGCGTTGGGCCGAGCAGCATTGATGCTAAAAGATTCTAATGCAATGAGGCAGCGTAAAGGCTTCTGTAATGTTCGGTAGATCAGATGACACAGAGCCACAGAGGATGTGGCAACCTGCTCTGTTCTCATGTTTATTATAGCCTACTGGAGCTGAGCACCCAAAAAACTAAAATATACAGGGACAAAAATAGAGTTCATTTTAGCTGCATTTAGATTTTATGTCAAACAAACTTGGTAAAGAGTATTACCTTAACTCAGTGAACTTCTGTTGACTTATCCAGACAAAAATCAGATCTGAGAACGAAAACCAAAACCCTCTCTGCACTTTGTTTCCTCCATGATCAGAACTAGAAAGTAAAGCTGCACCCAGACAGCAAGTGGAGGAGAGGAAAAGGAAGATACTTCAGATGTTGAGCTGTCTGCTGCCTGTGTGTGAGTGTGTGTAATTTGAGTTGGGTAGCGTGTGATGTGTGTGTGTGGGTGGAGAGAAAAGAGCCCTCATGAGTGTGTTAATATTTAATAGGGTGTCTTTTAGAAGCACCACCTAGTGTGCAGCAAGAGAGAAGAAGAAAGGCTTTGAGAAAATGCTCCGAAAAATCATTTATAATCGTAAACAAGGAAAGTTTGTGGTTTATTTTTATCCAAAATATGGGTCAAACTCTAAAAGCTATAGCCACACGTAATCCTCTGAACACAAGGAAGTCTGTCAGTGATAATCAAGCAGGCATATTCTTAAATGACGATTTGGTGTTAATTTAATTTCCCCTCATTTCATGGATGACTTCATACGAGTTCCACTCTGTCAATGATTCTGCGTTTAGCGCAGGCAGTAAAGCCGCATGAGCAGTGCCAGCTCCTCGAGGACTCCTGTTGTGTCTGCGGTGTCACTTGTCTTTATAAATCACAGTAAGGAGTCTGAAGCAACACTCGTTAGGACCTAAGAGTGAAAGGTTGAATTTCCACGAACTCCTTCTGATTTGATGTCGTTACGCTTTAATTATATGCCTTAGTCAAAATCAGCTGTTCTGCATCTACATAATTACAGTGATGCTGCAAACGAAAGGATTAAAAGAGCTTATTCTCACCATGCAGCAATATGCTAATATGACTTTGAATGGCAACGCAGTGTCACAGAAAGTCTGGATGAAAATCAACTCAACTCACCCTTTATTTATAAAGCACCTTACAGGCACGAAGCATGCTACCAAGGTGCTGTACAGCAGTGAAATAAAACCAATACAACCAACAAAGTGAAAATTAAAGTAAGAGCATATAAAATATCAGCATCAGCTAAGCCGCTGAGTTAAAATAACAGCAGATCTTTAGCCTCATTTTAAAAACATCCACTGATGGAGAACGCCTAACTGTGAAGGAAAGTGTGCTCCATAGTTTAGGTCTAGCTACCTAGCTACCGAGAGCGTCCTATCCCCTTTCGTCTTCAGCCGAGCTCTGGAAGCCAAAAACAGAGGTTGGTTCTCGGAACGAAGTGCCAGCAACAACTTGGTCAAGTAGGCTGGAGCCAACCCATTCAGTGCGTTAAACACCATTAATAGAAGTTTAAAACGGATTAGAAAATTAACAGGTACTACGTACTTGTCACGACTGGGTTTAAAAAGTTTTCATAAGTGGCTTTGAGTCACTCATAAAACGTTCTCTCCTATCAGGGTGAAATGATGAAAGTGCTTCTTTATGTCCAATTAGAAGCCCATTATGTCAACGACCTAAGCACCATTACCAAGATACACTTGATACCGTATGTTCCAAGCCTCATATTAAAGCTGTTATAACAAATCTGCAAACAAGATACGTTCTGAACACAAACACTCAATCTTTTCCTTAGGTATCTTCTCTGGTTCCGCAGCCACCGGTACTGGAAACTCGCATTGCAAGGAGAAACGAGATAGTGCTAAACACCAGTCACTGTTTCCTAGGTCCCACTGTCTTTTGTTGTCAGTGACTTCATATGGTGTCTTTGTTTGTGGGACCCTGGTAAAACTAAAGTGGTGGCAGCCGGCTGTCTCTCCTTCTCTGATATTAATGAATGGAGGATCCAGGGAAGTGTGGCGGTTCAGCAGGACCAACAACTGGAGGGTCCAAGTTGCTTTCTGTGCGAAACATGTTATCGGATGAGGTTTTTTTTGACAAATACGTAGGGATGGGTACCGAATTCGGTACTTTTTAAGGTACCGACCGAATTCCATAGTACCAACCGAGCACCGATTCACGTCATTTCAAACGGTGCCTCGTTTCGGTACCCGTCCTTCATAACGAGAACTTGCCAAGACAGCTGCGCATGCGCAAGAGCGTTATGTCATCGGTCGCTGAGAGCCAGTTGTAAACAGAGCAGCATGGTAGAAAGAATGCACGCTAAAGCTTGGATCCACTTCACTAAATGTGATGGGTAACTGGGTGATGATGAAACCAGCGACAACGATCTAAGTGAGACATCCTCATCTGCTCCGGTAGGTAAACACCAACGAAAGCCTTGGCGGTAGCTCTATCGCCCATCATGCTTCTGGATTTTTTTATAGTTGGTCACAGCGCCTCCTAGATAACTTTAACCTTCAATTACTTCAAAAAACGTGGTCAGAATAGCATTAAACTTTGTCTGTGCCATCACACCACCAGTGTGGTAAAGACAGAGTATCCCCTAGTGGTTAGATGTGAAATTTAATGGTGGGCTCAGAGAAGATGCTGAGTCAGTGTGAGGTGCAGACGAGGAGACCGTTCGCAGTTTCTGGTGTCGGGGTGGTTGATGTTTATGTTCAGCGGACTTGCACGGGTGCACCAGACTACCGGCCAGGCCGGAGCAGCGCAGAGCTGTGGGGGCCGAACGACGCTGCTTGCAGCCTTAATTTCTTTATGTTGTTGGCCTGTGAAAATAAACCTCACCTACTTTAAAACAGAAAAGATTACAGATAGAAGACTAGAATGGAAATAAAAAAGAAAATCCCTTTATTGTCCCTCAGTGGGGAAAGCTTGGTGTCACAGCAGCAATAACATAGCCTAGTGAACTAGACCAAATTCTTGCTTTGCGAAGACCCACAGCTACACAGAGCCATTTGCTCTGTCTATGTTGGGGGGGGGGGGGGGGGGGGGGGGGGGCTCGCAAAACAATTTTGCTGCCGTGTGTCATCCCTGAGAGCAGGGAAAGGGAGTAATGGTTGCACGCAGAACGTTGTGCTTCCGTGCTTTTCCCATGACGGGGATAGGCCTGAGCCTATGTAGGGGAAACAGTACTGAATTCATCAGAGTAGTAAAAATAAAATATAGCTTTGCCCCTAGATGATGTATCCTGTGTGTGTGAACAATACACTACTTCCTTTTCTCCAGTTTCCTTTCTTCTCTGCCTCACTTCTCCCTTGTGGTACTTTTTAGGACATTTTTATACTGTAGTTAGCGGGCAGTCCATCGTGAAGCCAGAGCACAGCAGACTGTATTTACACCATCTAATGTATTACACCAGGACTTGGTTGGTGGGTATTGACTACCTAATATAGCATGTCTTTGTTTAGTTGTTTTCACCTGCACACTGGAACCACCAGGTAAACACATATTTGAACAACTGTAACGAAAAGTCTTTGTCTTTTTAAAAGTCTTTATTTAGTGGAATTCTTGGAATTTACCAGCTGTTTCTCAGAATTCATGGCTTTTCCGAAAGAGCTTTTATCATCTTGTGGAAAATTGTATTTTTGTGTTTAAAAATGAAGACATTACGATCAGTTATGCCTAGAACTGCAGCAGGGATCATTTGGATCCCTATGAAACGTTTGTGACTGCTTGCTATGGAACCACACCCACTGTTGTTGCTTGGCAACTGAGATTTATCAAGAAATATTGACAGAGTGACATATAGCCCAAACTATAGCTAAGTAGAACTTATTGATTATTTTGTTTATGTTTATCAGTGTCATGGTTTGTGCTGAGTCTAACTCTGTGTGTTGTGCTGAGTCTTCTCTGTGTGCAGGTGGGAGTGCCTGGAGAGCAGCTGCTGCCTATCTGTTCATCAGTGGTCAGGGGATTTAAAGAGCAAGTAAACCCCTACCAGAGTCTAACGCCACTCCCACTTCATGTTTGAAAAATGCAACAAATGCTGTTGCCTGGCAGACCGAGAAGGCGGAGCTGCTAACAAATACACACACACACACACACACACACACACACACACACACACACACACACACACAGGCTCACGACAGCATTGTGACATCATAATGTACCAGTTTACATCATAGCATACCTCTTAGCCAATAGCGGTGGCAGATTTAAATTAAAATACAGTGCAGAGTTTTTACTTGACAACGGCACAACACTGCCAGTTTTAGGCAGAATATTTAAATTTTAACTAAGATGCACTGAAGTGCCAAATTATTGACTACACGTGTCTGCAGCACGATTACTCGTTTATTTAGTTTATCAGCAAAAAAAAAGTTAATTTGGGGGTGACGTGCTCTTTAAGGAGCGTCGGGACAACTCATCAGTGCTGGATGATACTCAGCATTGGGTAGAACTCTTGACAGCACCTTGCCTGTGTCTGAAATTCGTTTATCTCTTGTTTGTCTCGCCTTCCTGAACTTATCTGTCCTGTTCTCCTCCAACCTCCTCAGGAAACTTCTCCTCCACCAACCAAACCTCCATCATCTGGAAGAAAGACTCACCGGATTCCAACCCTGCCTGCCAGCCCCGTCGCTCACCCCTGACCGCCTGCTCTCCAACCCCCACCTGCCAACCTGGACAACGCGAACTCTGGTGCTCAGCTCCCAGCCACACCTGACTCTCACTCGACCAGCTCAGCAAGCCGTGACTTGCCTCCCCCCTCTCTAAGCCTTACCAACAACCAGGAAACCGTAAGCTACAAACTCTTATTCCTTTCACGGTCAATCTGCAAATACTCACTCCTGTCTCCGCTCTAGAACTCCACCGGAACCACCTGATCTCAGACCATCATCTCCACCTCCCATCGTACATAAAAATAAAACCTTTTTTTTCTTACCTTTGTCTCAGTGTATGACTGCATGTCATGGGTCAAAAAACTACAGCCCAACATGACAATCAGTAATGGTTGGCGATTAGCAGTTATGGGAATAACGCCTTTTTAAATAAGGGTGTTACAAAAAAAATGTCTTTTCATTAACAAGTAATCTAATTATGTCTTCTTTTATCATAACGCCATTTCCGTTACTGATAAGAAAATGTGTGCATTACTAATTCAGCAGCATGGTGTGTTTAAGCCGT